GGATGGATGGGATAGGAGGGGATTATTCTACGAGTTTGGGAACCGTCAAGATGCGTTATGAGTGCTAAGTGACAGAGCCACTAGAGGGCAGCAAAGAGCCAAACGGGGGGGTCGTGTTGGTTAGGCAACCGTTACAGCCACACAACCGTGTCAATCCATGTGGGCTTCTGTAAATATTCGGGTTTGCTCTGCCGACCTCGCTGTGCTTTGTGTACAGGCAAAGGCATGACTCATGACGCTGTCCGCTGCCGGAGCAAAGACGGGGTGTGCCGTTTTGACCGATGCTATTACAATGAGATCGAGATTGCCACCTGCTATCACCAGACAATGAAATGCTGCCGAGAGAGGGACTAGAAGGTCTTGAGGGTTCGCACCACTGGGACACAGACCTGAGACCTCTGACGGGCGATGCTGCAAGAGACCCAACACAGAAGGGTGCTAAATCACACCTCTGTAATAAATCACATCACATGCGTTGCTCCAAGGGCGTGTTCCTCTCCCCTTCCTTTCACTATGAAGACCCCGGTGAAAGGCGGAAATGCAAATCAGTTTCAGGAGCCGTTTCCTGATCACACCTTAGCCCAGCTGGAAGCCTTATCTGCTCACATGGCCCCTTAACCCAGTGTCTGATGGCCACCGAATTTTATACATATTGATCCCCACTTCATCCCAGGAGGCAGGGCAGTGTGATCACTCCCATTGCACAGAGGGGAAACTGAGGCACAGGGAGACTGGCCTTCCCTGCAGCAGCTCTTGTTGCTGTTGCCACAAACTCCTAACCCATCAAAGACTTCACTGAGCAAGACAGGGTACCCGCCAGCCAGTGACGTGGTACTTTTGTAACAGACACATCTATCCATGGGGCAGGTGAAATCAGACCAGAGTTGAGTTGACAGAGTTTCTTCAGTGAATTAGATGGGAAATATCTAGAAAGGAGCCCTGCAGAAAGGGATCTAGGGCTCATAGTGGACCACAAACTACATATGAGTCAACAGTGTGACGCTGTTGCAAAAAATGCCAACCTGATTCTGGGATGCATCAACAGGCGTGTTGTGAGAGGGAGACACAAGGGCTGTGTCTAGATTGGCCAGTTTTTCCGGAAAATCGGCCGCTTTTCCAGAAAAACTTGCCAGCTGTCTACACTGGCCTCTTGAATTTCTGCAAAAGCACTGACTTCCTACTGTAAGAAATCAGTGCTTTTTGCGGAAATACTATGCTGCTCCCGTTCGGCCAAAAGTCCCTTTTGTGCAAAGCTTTTGCACAAAAGGGCCAGTGTAGACAGCTCAGATTTGTTTTCCGCAAAAAGCCCTGATCATGAAAATGGCGATCGGGGCTTTTTTGCGGAAAAGCGCGTCTAGATTGGCATGCATGCTTTTCCGCAAAAAGTGCTTTTGCGGAAAAGTGTCCGTGCCAATCTAGACGCTCTGTTCTGAAAATGCTTTTAACAGAAAACTTTTCCATTAAAAGCATTTCTGGAAAATCATGCCAATCTAGATGCAGCCAAGGAGTCATTCTTCTGCTCTACTCTGCGCTGATTAGGCCTCAGTTGGAGTATTGTGTCCAGTTCTGGGCACTGCATTTCAGAAAAATGTGGAGAAATTGGAGAAGGTCCAGAGAAGAGCAACACGAATGATGAAAGGTCTAGAGAACATAAAATCCTAGGGCTGGAAGAGACCTCAGGAGGTCATCGAGTCCAACCCCCTGCCCAAAGCAGGACCAACATGAGTTGAGGAAAGACTGCAAGAATTGGGTTTGTTTGGTTTGGAAAGGAGAAGACTGAGAGGCGACATGACAGCAGGTTTCAAGTATCTAAAAGGGTGTTACAAGGAGGAGAGAGTAAAATTGTTCTCTTTGGCCTCTGAGGACAGGACAAGAAGCAATGGACTTAATATGCAGCAAGAGAAGTTTAGGTTGTATATTAGGAAAAACTTTCTACCTGTCAGAGTGGTCAAACACTGGAATAAGTTGCCTGGGGAGGTTGTGGAATCTCCATCCCTGGAGATATTGAAGAGCAGATTAGACAGACACCTGTCAGGGATGGTCTAGGAGGTGCTTGGTTCTGACACAACAGCAGGGGACTGGACTCGATGACCTCTCGAGGCCCCTTCCAGTCCTAGTGTTCTATGGTTCTATGATTCATAGCAAGAAAAGCTTCATGCTCACAGGCCAGGCCTGCCCCGGGAATGTTTGCTGCTAAAATAATATCTGTTACGAATGGGACTTCTTTGCCTTTGAACACCAGGGAAGAGCCCTAAAGACACTGGCGTGTAGCAAAGAAACCCTTTAGTCAGTATCGCTGATTTTGCTCAGGAAAGCAGCCGAAGCCATGCTGGTACAAACTGGATCTTTGCTGGGGTGGCCGGCAAATCTTTCCTAGCGCCGACAAGGCCTCGGAGCTGAGTCCGGTTGGCTTCCCGGGGCAGTCTCTTGCGAAGGGTTGTTTCTTTCCCACCACAGCAATAAACAAAATATTCAGTGTTTCTGACCTAGGCCTCCTCTACATTTCAAAGGGCAGTTGGCATAGCTCCAGACATACCCCCGAACGGAGAGCATCGCGCTGCTGGCCAGCCGCCCGGTGTTCAATGCCTGCGTTGATCTAATGACCGCTGGTAGATGTTCTGCCCGCAATGGAAAAGCCCTGCTATTGCTGCAGGCTGTCTGCTCACGCTGGCCAAACTCCGGCTCCCTTGCTCCGGCACCAGAGTCCCTTCCATGTACACATGGTCTCAGAGCGAGTTTTGCTTCTGTCTTCCCCGAGGCCAGTTCACAGCACACAGAGGCCGGTGCTCTCGAGCTGTTAGCCCGCCCAACCTTTCCCCTCCCAGACAAGCAGAGCCAGTAGAGTTCATCCCCCCCGGGGTATGAACTTAGATGGCATAAACAGGCCCAAAGAGTCAAAGGGGCTAACACAAGCCAGTCGCTGCCCAGCCTAGGACAGGTTCATACTAGGGGGCTACGTCTGGACTGGCATGGTTTTCCGGAAATTCTTTTAACGGAAAAGTTTTCCATTAAAAGCATTTGCGGAAAAAATTTTCCGCAAAAGCACTTTTTGAGGAAAAGCGTCCGTGCCAATCTAGACGCGCTTTTCTGCAAAAAAGCCCCGATCGCCAGTTTCCCGATCAGGGCTTTTTTGCGCCAAAAAAATCTGAGCTGTCTACACTGGCCCTTTTGCGCAAAAGGGACTTTTGCCCGAACGGAGCAGCATAGTATTTCCGCAAGAAGCCCTGATTTCAGACAGTAGGAAGTCAGTGCTTTTGCGGAAATTCAAGCAGCCAGTGTAGACCGCTT